ATCATTTACATTGTCCTACGGATTTCTTCCATTGTCTCTGCATGGTATGTATTTGTGACATTTAGAAACTTCTCTTGTCTCTTTGTACATTTAGATTTCATAATGACATCTCATTGATTTTGTAACATCTGAAGAGGGAAGAGTCTCTCATCGTGGTCACAACACTGTTGCTTAAGATTTTTGGTACGGTAAAAATGCCTTTTACTTGTACTTGTTTTGTATCCAATGCCTTTTACTTGTACTTGTTTTGTATCCCCTATAAAATAGGGCTTTGTGTCAGTACTAAAAATCCAAATGTTTAGACATTTTTAGTTTTGGTTAATTCATAAAGTTGACTTGGTTAGGCTTAAAAAATTATTTAAAAAAAAAAATCATTTTTCTCTATAAGACAAATTGTGCCTTAAGCAATAAAACAATTTGAGCCTGATGGTTTGCTGTTTATTTTTTCAGAGGTGTTTGAGAGTCGTGTTGGTGGAAGTCAGACCCGACTAATGAACATCTTGATGCAGCTTCGGAAGTGTGTTAACCACCCTTATTTGTTTGATGGTGGGTGCACAGCAAGCATTTAATTGGTGTTGTATGTTACCCATGTAACTGAATTCTTGAAAAAAAAATTTGCATTAGGAAAAAAAAATAGAAACCCTCCCCCTCCGTATTTTATATGGTGAAAGTAAACAGAAAAGTTGGCCCACAGTACTTTTGTACTATTTATAGTGTATGCCAACCCCTGATTTTTATTTAGGACCTGGAGATTGACTTCAGCAATAGTTTTAGGACATAACCAGGGTTGACCTGTTTCTTCTAGTTACCCAGATAGAGTCATAATAATACCATTGACATTATTGTAGTGTTTTCTTTATGAGGTTTTAACTTGGAAAATATTTCAAACACTGAATTGTGGAGCCTTGCCTCAAACTAATTTTTAACCCTCTGTTGCTGAACATGGTTCGAGAGCACCAGTCGTAGATCCTGCTTTTTTCTTTCCCATTGTTTGCTTTTTTTCTCAGCACTAAATGACAATGACTGTATCCGTGTGCTTCTCATCTCTCAAACTTAACACATTACTCCCTAAGGGTCTGGATGGGAAGTCCATTGCTAGATCCTAAGCAAGGGGAAGGAACCCACCTCCTGTGAATACAAGCCTTTAAAAAACACATTTTAAAAATACTAAACAAATTCCTAAAATCCTGAAAAAATTAAAGTTAAAATGAAAAATGAATGTAGTTTCAGAAAAATATAACTTTATGCGCAAACTGTTGGAAATGTTCCAACTTAAATTGAATCAGGGTGTCCGACCTGTCACTCTCTCTCTCTCAGCATCGCGGTCGGGCCCTAGATCTAAATTCTAGATTTTCTACGTCTGATCAATCGGAATCGCCCCAAACTCTTGCTACAACGTTTTCATCAAAATCTGAGTCGTCTGATTTGTCATATGCTTGTTTTTGCTTTAATCCATCGTTATTTCCTTTTTCGAACTCAATTGTGTCGCTTTTCAACAACTCGAGACACTTTCGAAGTGTGGGTAAGGCGATCTCCCTTCGTTCGGCTTTAATGCTAAAACTACTGGCCTGAAAAATTTCGTTTCAGTATCAAACAAAAGAAGAAACTTTTTGCAATAACTATGCAAATCAAAATCTCGGCCCCAGGGTCTTGTCAAGGCGAGACTTCGTTTCTGAAGACGCTAGGTCCAGGGTTGGGTTGATTTAAATCAGGTTGATTTAAATCAGTTGATTTTTTTTATTTAAATCAACTTGATTTTTTAAATAAAAATCAGTGATTTAAATCACTTTAAAAAAAAAT